ACTTGTATTAAAAAATGTGCCAACCAGAGGAAAACCCCAAACTGACCAGCTGAAACTGGTCAGACAGTGTTGTGTGTCCTACTGCTGTTCAGTGTCCATTGTCGTCATGGTAGTTTATTTAGATTGGTCAACAATGTGTATCAGTTTGGAGGGATTTTATTTATTTCACCCTTAGTTCTATTGATATATTTTATTGATACAGCGTTATTTTTAAAGCTGAATGAATATTTGTCTTCTGTTAACAAAGAGGAAATAAAACTGGGTTGACGTCTCACACGCACACACACACACTGCACATCACCCTCTTACACTCAGAGCTGTACCACCTTTATAATACAGCCTTCCAGTTGATTACATATTTATTAAAACACATCCAAAAACAAAACACACACAGAAAACATGTTTGTTTTTTGTACTTACCAACCCAACCCTGTACTTTAACATGTGTTTTTGTCTCCTGTGTGAATATGTGATTGGTGTGTGGTGTGTTCATAGATATGTGTATGTGTGTTAGGCACTCCCTGTCTCATACACATACACACACACACACACATACACCCTGCTGCAGCACTTCTTTGAACACAAAGACCTGTCTGTCTGGTTCTGTCTGTTTGCATGTGTGTGTGTGTGTGTGTGTGTGTGTGTGTGTGTGTGTGTGTCACAGACCTCAGAACTCTCTGTCAGTCTGTTGTATCTTTGCTTGGACAAAGTCACTTTATCAGTTCAGTCTGGATGAATCAAGTGATTGTTACTGGTCTGTCTGACACTGTGATAACATCAAGACTAACAGGAACACTGTGTGTGCATGTCTAGGTATAGCTATCTTTTGGGGGACATTTCTTTGGCGTCACATAATTCTCTGTTGTGGGAAACCTTTGTCCTTTTGAGGTTTAAGGTGCGTTGTCTATGAGAAGTCCTCACAAGCTACAAAAACCAGAATGTATGAGTGTGGTCCTCGATACTTATCATATATTAGCATATTATGCTGCATATTACAGACTGAACCACAGAAAACTTTTTTTAACAAACTAGAACTTTTTTCTTCAGGCCTTATTTTTTTTTTTTTCAAATAGCTGTGACCTTTTTTTAACTTAATTTTTAAAGCCACCTTTTAATATTTCTATTATTCTTCTAACCAGACCATTAACACTAGAAGTCAAGTAAGTGTTCACTTGACTAGAAGTCAAGTAAGTGAAAAATCTAGTTCTGCATCAAGTCTTATACTGTAGTTCAGCCTTAACTGTGCTACGTTTTCCTTGTGTTAAACTGCCACTCAAAATAGCCTTCATTTAAAAGAACATTATTTCACATCATGGTATAAACTGACACCTGAACACACACACACACAAAATAAAAATAAATAAATATATATATTAAGATTAAAGATTCATAGCTGAAAGGTTGGTCAGGTTGTTCTGTTCATGTTCTGACATCACCTCTCTCTGATATAACTCCATATGTTCTGAGTTATATTTAACCACAGCCCTGTCAGACCTGGCTCCACAGCATCAATTAAAAAGAACCTCGTTAATGGTGGGTCCAATGAGCTTTTAACCTGGAGAACTCCCCCAATGGCAGGAGGTAGGATGAGGTTGGAGACAGAAGGGGAAGTCCACGGACACAGACACCAGTGGCTCAGTGTAAAACCATTTACTCTCCAATGACTCAGGACTTGTCTGTTCTCACAGGGTTTACAGTCAGTCCTCAGCACTGACACTTGAACTCACAGTGTAGTAACAGTAGCAGACAGGACGCTCTGTTTATTTGGCTGCCAACTGTTGGCATCACAGCTTCCACTGCTGGGCTGAACTGGGCCACACCACTGTTTACGTCTGAGCTGCAGACATCAACACCAACGGCAGCAGCAAAAGCAGCAACCTGTTTTCTTTTTGTAGAGGATCCAAGAACTGAGCAGACAAAGTGTAAACAGACAGGGTGTAATTCATCGTCAGTGTCTGTGGATGTCATTACTGTAAAAAATGCTGTTGAAGTCAACACACGACACATGGGGGACACCCTAGTTAGAGATGAGTCTCCAGGGGGTTACATGTAGAGACGAACAACTGTTCACACTCAAATTCACACCAAGGGGTTAATTTAGTGTGAACAAATGACCTAATGCTCGTCTTTGAACCAACAGAGAGTTCTAAAGACACTCGCCGACTGGAATATTCCGTTTGGACAATATTGAAATCGGTACTTGGACCAAAGAGACAGTCTTTGGGTCAGGGTGTGGATGTCTTAGTGACAGTGAAATACATTTTTAATTAAAGTCTTTTTTTCTAAATTGTACATTTTGTACATTAGGGTTTGTGTCCTTAATGTCCCTTTAACTAATGGTTTTAAATTTCATTTCAATCTTATGAGACAACTTCAACAGTTTAGAAGTCTTTGTCAGTTGTTAATATTATCATGAAGATCATGGCGACCTTAATGAGTTCAAATTAAACAAGAAGAGTGTTGACTCTTCAACAGGGAAGAACTATTAAAGAGAATGTCGCTGCTGATTTTTTTAACATTGTTATAGATGTTGTAGTTACAGAATGCAGCAGCTGCATCCAAGGAACAGCTGGAGGAAGGTGTAGGAGGTCTGTGGTTGGTTGGGAACTACAAACAAGTGACCCGAGGCCTGCGGGCTGACTCGTTAATGTGTGAGTCGCTGCCCTGACCTCTCCTCCTCCGCTTCCCCTTATTCTGCATCATTCGCCTATTCTCATGTCAGCCCTGGGCTCCCTAATGGACCCTGACAGCAACTTCTGTCCTCTGCCGCCTCAACCCATCCAAAACCAGACTCCTCCAAGTCCCCCTCCTTCTTTTTCCTCCAGTCTCGCCAGTTGAGCTCAAACATCCAGGACAAAAAAAAGTCTGATCCCGACTGTCAAAAGCACATCCAGAATGTGATCAGTCACACGTCCATCTGTACCAGACACACAACAAAGCTGGATTTTTCCACATTAATCAATACTGGTTCAGTGACTCAGTTAAAATCAGAACTAAAGGAAAGAGGGAGGGGTCAGTTTTACACCTGCAAACACTGACTGTTGCACAACTAATTTGTGAATGAACATACCAGCACATGTCAATCACATTTTTGATATAAGGTGTGGCTCTGGCTCTGACACACACACACACACACAGGCACACACAGACACGCGAGAAGCCACTTCCTGTTGCACAATCTGAAGGAACTACAGACATGAAGACTAAACTTGT